AAGCACAGTTTGATTAGAAATAGTCAGCATGGCTTTGTGAGGGGCAGGTCATGCCTCAAAAGCCTGATTGAATTCTTTAAGGATGTGACAAAACACATCGATGAAGGCAGAGCTGTGGATGTGGTGTGTATGGATTTTAGCAAGGCATTTGATAAGGTTCCCCATGGTAGGCTCATTCAGAAAGTAAGGAAGCATGGGATTCAGGGAAATTTGGCTGTCTGGATACAAAACTGGCTGTCCGATAGAAGACAGAGGGTGGTAGTAGATGGAAAGTAATCAGCCTGGAGCTCGGTGACCAGTGGTGTTCCACAGGAATCTGTTCTGGGATCTCTGCTCTTCATGATCTTTATAAATGACTTGGATGAGGAAGTGGAAGGGTGGGTTAGTAAGTTTGCCGATGATATGAAGGTTGGTGGAGTTGTAGATAGTGGGGAGGGCTGTTGTAGGTTGGAACGGGACATTGACAGGATGCAGAGCTGGGCAAAGAAGTGGCAGATTGAATTCAACCCAGAAAAGTGTGAAGTGATTCATTTTGGAAGGTCGAATTTGAATGCAGAATACAGGGTTAATGGCAGGATTCTTGGCAGTGCGGAGGAACAGAGGGATCTTGGGGTCCATGTCCATAGGTCCCTCAAAGTTGCTACCCAAGTTGATAGGGTTGTTAAGAAGGCGTGTGGTGTGGTGGCTTTCATTGGCAGGGGAATTGAGTTTAAGAGGAATTGAGTTTAAGGTTATGCTGCAGCTCTATAAAACTCTGGTTAGACCACACTTGGAATATTGTGTTCAGTTCTGGTCACCTCATTATAGGAAGGATGTGGAAGCTTTAGAGAGGGTGCAGAGGAGATTTACCAGGATGTTGCCTGGACTGGAGGGCAGGTCTTATGAGGATAGGTTGAGGGAGCTCAGGCTTTTTTCATTGGAGCGAAGAAGGCTGAGAAATGACTTGACAGAGGTGCACAAGATAATGAGAGGCATAGATAGAGTGGATACCCAGAGACTTTTTCCCAGGGCAGAAATGACTATTACGAGGGGGCATAATTTTAAAGTGATTGGAGGAAGGTATAGGGGAGATGTCAGAGGTAGGTTCTTCACACAGAGCGTGGTGGGCCTGTGGAATACGCTGCCGGCAGTGATAATGGAGTCAGATACTTTAGAGACATTTAAGCGACTCTTGAATAGGCACATGGATGATAGTAAAATGTAGGGTATGCAGGGTAGTCTGATCTTAGTAGGATAATAGGTCGGCACAACATTGTGAGCCGAAGGGCCTGTACTGTTCTATGTTTTGTGTTCAGAAGCTCACCTTGCCTTGTAATCCGTTAAAGAAAGTGTGAAAAGTGATATAACCTGCTTCTCACCCCCCAATCTGTTGTAAAGGAGTGGTTAAATGAAAGAAATCCCTGATACTCACTTTATAAGCAGCGAGTAACAATTTATTTATCTAACTGTAACAGTAAACAAATTACAGATCTACTAACAAACCAAACAATTCCCCCCTTAATTACCAACTATTCCTGAATAAAACAAAATTCTAATGGTATGCAGTTCCAATAAATATAAAAGTCTCATGTATATGAACGAAAGTAATTAGAAAGAAAAAAATTAAAACTTAGTCTATCAAAATTACAGCTAGGATAAGTCTTCCGGAATGTTCTTTGCCTTCTGTGTTGTTTTCCATTCAGACCGCCTTTTTCCATCGAACTCGTGTGTCAGGAAGACTAGCTAACAGTGCTGTAGCACATTTAGTTAGATGGTGCTTACTCTGAGAGTTGAGATTTGTGAGAGCCAGTGAGTTTCTCTTCAGATGGTAGTTCATTCTCTCACACACTCACTTTCAAATAAGCTTTGCTTTTTTACCCTGAATGACCTATCAATTTCTTAGAATAGGATTAGTCCTGGGTTGTCAAAATCATCTGATATAAATTTAATTGGGTTTCGGTATCTAGGGCCTTGTTTAAATTAATCGGCTAAATTCAAAAACCTTTGTCTTGGTAAAAATGCTGCTTTGCCTCCTAACAGTATAGCCGTTCTGAAACAATGTTTCTATTTCAAGAACTATCCATGCATCTGCTGCTGCCTGCAGATTTTTTCAATCTCCAAACCTAGAAAAGCACATCATCTTTTAAAGAGACCACACACTCTTGCCCCCTATCATTTTACAAACAAATTCTATTGTCCTGCCTTCCAATTCACAAATACTATACCCAACTGCAAGAGAACTCAGAACATGTATCTTTGGATGCATGTACAACGCTTCACTCTGTGATACACTAAAAGATATGAGTTTTCAAACAAAGTCCAAGTCCACACTTTTGATGACAGTTTTATTTCAGTTCCCCACATTCCATACACGTTTGGCCCTACTGGTTACTAGCTCCCGTATTTACATAACTAATTCACATCAAGTTCACTCTCAATTAACATATCCATCACTTAATATCTCATTCTACTAGGTCTCAAGCATCCCTTCAGACACGTTAGATGATAACAGTCCTGGGATTTAATTTCCCACTTTGAAAAAGACTAGCAATAAAATCTGAGATAGTAGGAACTGCAGATGCTGGAGAATCCGAGACAACAAGGTGCAGGGCTGGATGAACACAGCAGGCCAAGCAGCATCATAGGAGCAGAGAGGCTTCCGAGACAACAAGGTGCAGGGCTGGATGAACACAGCAGGCCAAGCAGCATCATAGGAGCAGAGAGGCTCAATAAAATCTATTCTTTTATAATACTGACAGATTTTGCGCAATATCAAATTCTAATTCAGTGGACACATTTAAATTATAACTTTCAACTGGGCTGCAAATAAAAAAATCTCTCGTCCAAAGGCTCTTTGTTTACTGAATTCAGGAAATAGATCTAGACCTGACTCCGATCTCTACTGTTACCTTCGAATCCATGGTCACCATTGCTGGTATAACTCCATTCCTAAAAAAAGTGCAACTCCCATCAGACCAGGAAAACAAAACAGAACAACCAAGAAGATTTCAAACATCGAAGGAAATAGAAATAACACAGTGTGGTGCTGGAGGAACACAGCAGGCCAGGCAGCATTAGAGGAGAAGGAAAGTTGACGTTTTGGATTGGGACCCTTCTTCAGAAATGGGGAGAGGGAAGGGAGCTCAGAAATAAATAGAGAGATGAGGGGTGGGGCTGGGGAAGGTAGGTGGGACAGTGATAGTGGAGTGGTAGGGATTGGTCAGTGAGGTGGGAGTAGCAGATAGGTGGGAGAGAAGATGGACAGGTTGTGTCAGGTGAAGGAGGAGGAGATGAGAGGGAGGGTTGGACATGGGATGAGGCCAGGGGTGGGGAGATTTTAAAACTGGTGAATTCCATGTTTAAGCCATCGGGCTATTGGGTCCCAAGGCAGAATATGGGGTGCTGAACCTCCAGTTTTGCAGGTGCTGTCATTGTGACACTGGAGGAGGCCCAGGATGGAAATGTCACCCAGGGAGTGGGAGGGAGAGTTAAAATGGTTCGCGACCAGCATCGCCAGCTCCCGACATGGCCTCCTGTACAGCGGTGAGACCAAGTGTAGACTCGGAGATCATTTTGAGGAGCATCTGCACTCTGTGTGCACCAAACCACAACAACTTCCAGTTGTGAACCATTTTAACTCCCCTTCTCACTTCCACTCCCACTCCCTGGGTGACATGTCCATCCTGGGCCTCCTCCAGTGTCACAATGACGCCATTCACAAACTGGAGGAGCAGCACTTCATATTCCGCCTCGGGAGCCTACATCCCAATGGTCTAAACGTGGATTTTACCAGTTTCAAAATCTCCCCACGCTCGGCCTCATCCCATGACTAACCCTCCCTCTTATTCCTGCCTCCTTGACCTGACACAACCTGTCCATCTTCTCTCCCACCTCACTGACCAATCCCCACCACTGCCTACCTGCACTCACCTATCACCATCCCACCTAACTTCCCTAGCCCCACCCCTCCACCCTCTATTTATTTCTGAGCTCTCTTCGCCCTCCCCATTTCTGAAGAAGGGTCCCAACCCAAAACATCAACTTTCCTGCTCCTCTGATGCTGCCTGGCCTGCTGTGTTCCTCCAGCTCCATACTGTGTTATCACTGACTCAGGCACCTGCAGTTCCTGCTATCTCTGAAGGAAATAGAAAGTTTGGTTCAACATTATAAGTTGTATCACAGCCACCATTGCATGATAAAATCAGGAATGCAATATTTGGATTTAATGGTGTCCTTGTAAGTCATTTAAATGCAGGAAACAGACCCATTTTACACCAGAATTATATGGATCTACACAATCAATTTGTAACATATGACTAAGATAGTGCAGAGCTGGATGAACACAGCAGGCCAAGCAGCATCACAGGAGCAGGAAGGCTGACGTTTCGGGCCTAGACCCTTCCTGCTGTGTTCATCCAGCTCGGCACCTTGTTGTCTCGGATTCTCCAGCATCTGCAGTTCCTACTATCTCTGACTAAGATAGTGTTTGCTTGTGTTTTCAACAAGGTGAGATTTAGAATATAGCTGGATTATCTCTGGCAGGAGCTAACTGATACTGGACAGATGACTTTCAAAATACAAGAACCAAAATTAATAGTTGTATCAAATATTCACAATCACAATATGTCCTATCTGTATTCTTTTAACTGGACTTGAAAAATACATTTTAACAGGATGTCATCAAACATGCGCCAAACATATAATGCAACTGAGAATGAAATGAAAATACAATTTCCAAAAATTAGATATAAAAAAAAAATCCACAGTGGATTGATCAACATTCAATTAAGGTCAGTGATTATTTCAGGATTAACCCTTGTATGGCAGCCAAACACACTTCCAAACTGACAGGGGGGTGGTGAGGATATTCACAAATGTATGGTCCCAGCATTTCCTATTTAACTGTGATAGGTTAAATCCCAGATAAATATTGTCAAATATCAGTTGTGTCATAGTTTGTAGAAAACACTGCCAGAAACCCATCATGAGGACATTGCAGGCAAACCAAATCATAGACTCACCTTCCTATCTGCTCCTGTGGAGTTGGAGAACACATATTCCAGGTGGAAAACTATAGCAAACATTGGCAGTTTTACCATTTCTGTGAGCTGGATACGACTCCTAAGGATCAGGGACGTTTTTTGCGAACTGTGGTTAGAAAAGAAACACAAGCCACTTTTTGTTATAAAACTTTTCCATTATTCACAGCCGTAAGTGGCTTGCAGTCCAGACTGATTTAAAGGCAACAAGTTAACCCTGTTCTGTTTGGCTAACACCCATCATTTCAGTGTTTGCACAGAAAGTGTGCTGTACTACAAACAAGGAGTCTTCTAATAACCAATTAACACTCTGTCCTTTGACCCCCTTCTCCAAAATGTATGCTCAAGTAAATGTTCCTTTTCTGATTAGACATAGAACTCCAAGTCATTTTCTTTTACATGCTTATAAGAAGAGACAAGATTACAAAAATGCATTTAAAATCCTGGGTCCATTTACTATTGAATCACAGTTGTACTCAATATCGAATTCATGGCATTTTAATGAATTTTTCTGCAATAATTCCTCACTGTCTGCACAAGGGTGAACACATTTCCAATACTCTTAGTCTCCAACTATGACTAAAGAGCCAAACATAATTAATCTTGACCATACGACGTTGGAAAAGGACAGAAACCATTTGCTTCTACGATGCTTCTCAGTTAGAGGTTTCAAGTTCATTACTTTTGGACCATCAAAATAAATACGGGATTTGGGTCAGAGGTGTAGTGTGCAATTTGCAACTAGCAATGGAGGAATCTAGCTGGCCACTGCATTTTATATATGATTTGCTCACTGCAAGGTAAGCGTCTAATGTTCTGCTTTCTTAAAACTTTTTTAAAATATGCTTCGCAGCGAATTTAGGAAGTGCTCAGCAGGTCCACATAAGCATCTTTTAAATGTAGCTTGAGCCCACACTACAGTTAGGGTTTACATGAGGTAGAATCCAATCCAGCCAGACAACTTTCAAAAAAGGATTTTGTGTTGTTGCATTCCACAGGCAGATCAGAATCCGATTCCAAAGTATACTACCCATTCTTATCTTGATATGTGGCAGATACAGGGTGAATGAATTGCGAATGCAGAAGTACAATTAAAAACTCAAATCAGCATTTTATAACAGACAGACGGTCTAGGTTTTCCTTAAAATTCTGCACAGCTGCGCAAGTAAATTGCAGAAATAAAACAAATTGCTCTACATTAGTGGAACACAGGGAACAGTGCATGACACAGAACTATGCAAAACAGCCCAACACCACACAGTGTGCGTTCCACTGAATTAAGTTGTCCATCACAGACTTTCTAAAGATGTATCTCTTTTGTTCAAGTTGAATTATATCAGTCAGTGGTAGGCTTCCTGACATTCTTTTAGTTGCTTAGTCTGCCATTCAATGCCTTATCTTAATTGGCTCCAAGTCCCATCAATTAAATGCAATCTGTATGGAGTTATCATTTAGCAACAAATTGTTCTTGAACATAAGACCTAAAGCATAGCAGTAGAAGTAGGCCATTTGGCCCATCAAGTCGTGGTGGATCTGATAATCCTCAATATCACTTGCCTGCCTTTTCCCCATTATCCTTGACACCCATACGGATTAAAAATCTGCCCATCCTGGTCTTGAATATTCTTAATAAACCAGCTTCAACAGGTCTCCCACCTCCTGAAAGAATAATTTCTCCTTATCCTTGTCTTAAATGGTGATGCTAACTGAGATTATGGCTTCTGGTCCTAGAATCTCCCAAGGGGATACAACCTCTCTACATCTATCCTGTCAAGGCCCCTAAGAAACTTATACATTACATGGAGGTCTCTTTTTATTCTTCTCAACTCCAATGAGTACAAAATCAATCTATGCAACCTCTCTTCAAAAGAAAATCCCTTAATACCAGAATCAACTGAGTGAACCTTCTCTGGACTGTCTCTAATGTCGGTGTATCTTCCTTTGATATAGGAACCAAAACTGTTCACTGTGCTCCAGCTGTAATCTGACTGGTATCTTGTATAGGTTTAGCCAGTCTTCCCTATTTTTATACTCCATTCCCTTTGAAATAAAGGACAATTGTCCATCTGGTTTCCAAATATCTGCTGAACTTGGACACTAACATTTTATGATTTACGCATGAGGACCCCCAAATCCCTCTGTTCTGCAGCTTTCTTCATTAAAATAACATTCAGCTCTTCTAATCTTCCTGCCAAAGAGCATTACTTCATATTTTCCCCACAGTATACTCCATCTGCCAAGTTTTAGCTCACTCACTTAACCTGTCAATATTCCTCTACAGACTCTTTCAGTCATCCTCACCACTTCCCACCTATTTTTTGGGTCTTCCATTCACTTTCTACATCAAAGTCATTAATACATGCTGTAAATAATTGCAGCCCAGCACTGATCCCTGTGGCACTCCACTGATATAGGTTGCCATCATGAAAATACCCCCTTTATCCAAACTTTCTGTCTCCTATTTGTTAGCCAATCCACTATCCATGCTAATATGCTACCTCCAGTACATTGGTTCTTATCTTATTGAGTAACCTTATGTGCAGTACTCTATAGTGAGTGCTTGTCGTCAAATATCCTCCTTCAAGAGGTGGCTGTAAATTCTACACCACCACCCCCATTCCTGCATGAAAACCTACCTCTCCCGCAACCCATTCACATTTATTGTAAGAAAGTTAGTTCAAGGATCAATTTTGAATGACCACCAGCACTCGAGATTAAGATTCCACTTCCCCCAGGTCACAAATCGTATCTAGGATCTTCTAGCATAGCTTAGTGCTCCGCTGACTGGTATTTTTAACTTTCACAAACTTGGACATCTTAAAGAAGAGAACTATAGGCTTTGTACGGTTTTAAACATTTATCTGGATTTTTAAAAATCATCGCACCAAAATGAGAAATAACATCACACGGATGTAGCAGAGGGGGAGGTGATGGCCTAGTGGCATTATCACTGGACTGTTAATCCAGAGACCAGACAACATTCTGGGGACCCAGGTTAACAAATCCTGCCGCAGCAGATGGTGGAATTTGAATTCAATAAATATCTGGAATTAAGAATCAAATGATTATTGTGAATTCATTGTCGATTGTTGGTAAAAACCCATCCAGTTCGCTAATGTCCTTTAGTGAAGGAAACTGTCATCCTTACCTGGTCTGGCCTACATGTGACTCCAGACCCACGGCAATGTGGTTGACTCTTAACTGCCCTGTGGGCAATTAGGGATGGGCAATAAATGCTGCCTAGCCACTGATACCCTCATCCTGTGAGGAAAAAAAAATTTAAAGAAAATCTTCACCACATGAACTGCAGAAGATCAAGAAGGCAGCTCAACACCACTTTCACAAAAGAAGGTTAGAGATGGACTATAAAGGCTGATCTTGCCAACAATTTCTATGCCCTGCTGATGCATTTAAGCAAAGCACAAAGACATTAGTCTCACACCCAGATCAATGTCCATAAATGCAGTAAACGCTGCAAAATTTTGAAGGACCAAGAAAATGTGTGGCATTGTCACAAAATCTAAGAATGAATGAATCAAATCAGCATGGAATTGAATGTGTGTAACGATTTGGAATAAGACCTCCTTTAAGATCATGTTTGAACTTGTACTGCAGAAAAGTGTGATTATCACACCATTACACAAAGCACCAGCAGTTTATTAATTCTTACCAACAACCATCACAGTGTATTCACAATTTCATTTACTTATGAGTTATGGACCTTTCACATAATGATGAGAACTACCATAACTCACTGTCACTTGTGTAATATCCCCCATCAACCTTATAGCAGCAATTGAAAATATTTTTAATCTTTTTCTGAGCTCCCAGAAGCAAAAACTAAAGTAACTCAATATGTAATCACTGGGGAACAGCCCATATAACTCCATTTATGATACTCTTCTATCTCTGGAGTAATTCACTTGCAGATTCCAGATATCCTTCTTGAAGACTGCCATACTGAGCTGTCTCTAATTGATTTTCTGTAGGTACCAAGATGCACATCACAATACATGTGACAGCAGAATGAGAAGATCAAAAGTGGTCTTGATTTAAAAAACTTATGTGGAGTTGGAGTTGTTTCATGAAAGCAAAATATAAGTTAGATAGTATGCCATCTTTGTGCCTTAACAATGATTAACATCTTTGAACAGAACCAGAGTAAAACAGCCCATATCTTTTGCATTTGTAATATATTTCACCTCATTGACAATAAACTTTACCTTTTGGAGAGGATCCTGGATTTTCCTTGCACCGTCCCAGGTATTAAAACTACTACCTGCGGCTTCTGAATGTAGCACCAGCCATTGTGAACACAAACATGCAGCCTTCGCTCTTGAATGACAACCATGCTTCCATCAGAAACTTGATTATTCTATAAAACAAAGACAAAACAGACATCTGTACTTCATAGCCAAACACGAACATGGTGGATTACTAAAATGAAAGTGAGGTTGTTGACTTGCTCGCTGAACTGGCTTGTTTTCCAAAACAAACCAGCTCGGAGAGCAAGTCAACAACCTCACCCACAACCCGAGCTACAAACTTTGCAAAAACCTTAAAAAATGAAAGTGTATCATCACAGATGCAGCAACTCTGGAATAAACACAAGAGACTGGAAAACACTCAGCAGATCAGATAGCATCCTTGGAGAGACCGTGAGAAAAAAAAAGTTAAATGTTTCACAAAGATAAAGCACTGCTTACTTTTCCAGATGAGAAAATTCTGAAAGTTAGACTCCAATGACCTATTCTAAGCCCATGTGCAATGAAAGTTAACCAGGCTATCCTAATACACCCCAAATATTAAATTGGAATACTGGCCTGCTCTTGGTTGGTCAACCAATAAACAAAGGCTACAAATAATAAAATACATTTTTAATTGTTTGCTTAACAACTTTTAGTTACCAGCATTGGCCATGAAAATAGTTTTACCAACAGACAGGAAGATTAAATAAAAATGACTATGCTAATTTTGTTTAACGTTTATCAGTAGCGAGGACAGTGCAAAGAAATCTGGGAAAGTCTCAAGATGAATCAAGACTCAACATGAATAGTGCCTTTCAAAGGATGCAAGGGAACAAATAAGAAGTGGGAAAGCGCAGTAAATGATCACACTAAAAAATGTGTGTGTTTTGCATATGCTTTGCTTATCTCCAAAAATGTGCAGGGGTCAGTGTTGGACTAGGATGGACAAAGTCAGAAATCACACGACACCAGGTTATAGTCCAACGGGTTTATTTGAAATCACAAGCTTTCGGAGATGACAAAGGAGCAGCACTCCAAAAGCTTGAGATTTCAAATAAACCTGTTGGACTATAACCTGGTGTTGTGTGATTTCTGACTATCTCCAAAGAGATATTCCATTCAAACGTATTTGTAAAATTGGTTTCATGCAGCAGAGTGAGTTTAAATAGATTCTACAGCTGCCCCAATTAAACAGTTGACCAGTTGGATACTTTTACAGTCTACGTTACAGACATTTTAGTTACTAAAACCATCATACTTCAAATACAGCTAACATTACAAAATCTTGAGTTGAAAAATAAACATTGGAAATCTGAAATAAGCACTTCTCACTTTTGAAGCTAATCGCTATAACAGACAGACAGAGCTGCCAATCTGCGCACAGCAAAAACAAACAACAAAATAAATAGTCAATATACTTTTACTGCAATTGGATTGAAGGAAGAATTCAGTTAAAAAGCAGAACCTCATGCATGGTAATCTCAGATTATTGCCCAAGACAGCTGTTAATTAACACTGAAACAGACAGAGCAGGAAGATGTATACATGGCTGAAAGACTAGTATGGGAAAGAGAGGTACAATTCCATAGCAGTTTAGCAGCAGTACTGGGACAAGACACAGCTGGACCATTGCAAAAAGCCCCAGATGAACCAGAATGGGACCAGAGCAAGAGTAGGAAGGAGAAACAGAGCTGTAGATAGGACTTTAAACAAGAAAGGATGTGGCAAGGGAGCAATCTGGTGAAATATAATAACAACATGAAGTGAGAGAGAGAGAATGAGAGTTAAAGCCAAGGTCAATGACGAGGGAAACAAACAGTCACAGATCCAGTTGTAGAAGGTAAGTACAAAATGGCTTAATATAAAAAGTGATGGGGGTAATCACCTTTTAAAAAAATAAATTGCCTGTACAGAAATCTACGTGAAATATGAAACAAAACAGGAGAACTGGAGCATTAATGTTTGTGTGCAGCGAGATGTTTAAGGTATAAAGACAACGTTATATTTGGAATATAATCTGGGAAAATGGAAGCATGAGCACATCTAGATTGCAGAGATAGAACCAGTTGATTTTCACAACTCAAAGTTCATCAGTGGAACTATGACGTGTTCAGTTATTAGTTGCTCAAGGTTATGTAACTTTTGGAAAAGCTGGATCTGATATTTCTGAGAGAGAGACTAGCACCAGGTGTCTTTGGGTTAAAAACACTGGCTAGCAACATCTGTTGGAGTTCAGTTGCAGTATCACAGAAGAGAGAAAGGAAAGCTGTACACTGTCCTCCTGAAAGTCTGCAAGTTAAGGCAGGTACCTCCCTCTCTTTCTCTGTCTGTCTGTCTGTGAATGGAAAGGAGAGAAGAATGTTTAACTCAAATAAATGACCCAGGTTCAACTGACCAGCTACCAAACTGAGATTCACTGTGATCAACAACAATGCTATTCAATCATCAAAAGCTAAGAGTATTGTGAGAAAGTCACCTTTTTCCACTGAACTGGTCTGGACTCTTGATCCACAGAATCTGTTCCTTTTGCCTATGTTTTCCATCCACGATATTTCTGCAGAATTGTCTATCTTGTCCATTTAAAAGGGATATAGCTTAAGTTTGCGTTTTAGTAATTAATCTTTTTTCCAATTTTTAAAGCACAAGTTCTTTGCAATAAATATGTTTTCTGTTCTTGGTTATCAACGAAACCTGACAAATTCCTTTTATCTTAGATTGTGATCAATAGTCAGGCAAATGAACCATCCTACTGATTAAACTGGTCATTTACAAATTTGGAACGATTCAAGGAAGAGTGAGGTATAATTACGAGCACATTCTTCTCATCAGGGTCATGACAAAGGGATGGCTTAAACATAGCTTTCTAAAGATTAGGACTAACAGTTAAATACTGCAGGACAATATTTATTTAGAAAGTACTGTAACACAATTTTCAAGTGTACCTAAAAATAAAGAGGGTATCCAACAACTGTGCTTATAATTCCAGCATTATTGGTATTTTTTTGTCTAGTTTAAGACTTTTAGAGGAAATTTATTTTATCTAAGATTGCTGCTCTCTTTCTCTTTAGTTATAAGTTAGTTTTAAGTAACTTCTATGTCACTTTGAAAAACAGAACTGCAAAAGTGATATTTATCTGAATAACATAAGATGTTTCTGTATGCATCTGTATAGCACTGTCATATCTGTTTTAAGGCTGTTCATAGCTTCCCATGCTTTCTGTCAAAATTGTTTCCAACTTTGCTTTTGGCAAAGATTCAAACTCCGTACCAGGTTCTTGTTTTACTGTATTTGTAACAGTAATTCTGTAACATGTTTAACACTTCAACTTCTGTACTAATTTGGTGATTTTTATTTACAAGGGGATACAAAAATAGGAAAGCAAGAACTAAATAATGCACAGGTAATGAAAAAAGTATGGCTGAAATATTTAATTATTTTGCCTTTGTATTTACAAGGTTTGACTGATAATGGCATATAGCACTCGCGTCATGCAATGCCAGACAATGACCATCTCTGAAAAGATATCCAAAGCAATTACCATCATTAAATGCCCAACCACCAAAATCCCAAGGATCACTGCTGGTAGAAAATGAACTGCATCACCCATAATGTGACTGTAAGGGCAGAGGTTGGGAATTCTGCAGCAAATGACTCATTTCTTGATCTACCAAAGTCTATCCACCATCTACATGGCACAAGTTCTAGAGCATTGAAATACACTCCATTTGCCTAGATGAATGCAGCTCCAACAATGAATGAAAAACCATCCAGGATAAAGCAACTCTTTTGAATGGGTGCCAGTCCACCACCTTATATCTTCACTTTGTCTCCAGTTGATAGATGGAGGAAAGGAACCCCGTGGAAGGTGAGAAGCTGCCAGAGGCGTAAGGGGGAAGGATGCTATTGACCACCAGCCATTTAATATAACATGGACAGGGTTAAATGGAACATATTTTAAACAAAATCACTCAATTGTTGAACACAGCTCATGCACTGGCACCAGTTTTCTGCAAAACTGATGCCCTTCAAGGGGATTCCCCTCACGATACCATTAAAGTCTCTGACTCCTGCTGAGGGGATCTATAGAGTTCCATGGAGGAACCCTTCAGAATTATTAACACCACAAACATGTCAGCCAATACTCATCATTCAAAGCATTTATCTCCAAGGTCTTCAACTTGAAGACAACTGTCTCATGACAGTTTTTCTTCCCCCTTTTCTTTCTTCTGTCCAGGACGTAAAGCAAAGCTCACATTATCATTGTTAGATTGACTCCAATGATACTTAAAAGAGATGCAGCGGTGATTGAAGTGGTCAAAAGCATTATCTTTTTTCGTTCAAAATGTAAATATTTGTATTACTTATGAAAGTTTACCAGCCAGTCGTACTGCAGACTCCAATTTATTTCACAGGCAATATGTTTTGCTGCATCCCTGCCTTTCTTTCAGTTTGAAGATGCTGTGCCTATAGTTTCATAAAACATTTTTTTATGAATACTTGATTTGTTCATGAGATGAATACAATGTTGTACATTTCAAATCATGACAGTCTGTGTAAAGATGCATTAGTAGCTTTTATCATTCCACAGACAGACACAAACATTTCCTTCTCCCAAGTTTGCATTTTGGTGCAGCATTTGCTTAAGACTCTAGAGATTTATCGAGGTGTTTTATTTATTAAAAATGTATGCAGCACTGGATGAATTATTCAGTTCAAAACAAGTGGGATAGATGGAATATGTTGTTAATGAAATGGAGAACTCAAAGGACCACTCATAGTAAGTCATGATTTGATGTTTTCTGCAGTAACCCGTCACCAGGACACAGATTCTTCACACCTAAAGGAAAAAAGTATTTAATGTTAAAGTTTTGGATGGGATCATGGGTGAAATAAAATGGCGAACCAGGGCAGTGTGAGATAAAGTTAGTACTTCAGAAAGGTCAAAAGATTCATGTGCCAGTGTATGATGCAAGGAATACACATATTTTATCTGAAATATAAACAGAAAAATGTGCTGCAGAGAATGAAATAGTTGTTTTTCTTTTATATAAATCAAATCAAAAATGGAATTACGTGGTGTTCACTTATTGGTTACAGTCAACAAGAATACAGTATCATCACCAAAAAACTAGAGAATTGTGAGAATGTCACTTCTTTCCACCCTTGCGGTTTGGACTCTTGACCCACAAGATTTTTTACTTTCTGAATTTATCTTCTATTCACAACAGTTCTGCAAAACTGCCTGTGTGGTCTGTTATATTTGTGAATTAAGATGTGTATTGTTGGATTTAAAGAGGGTGTAATTAAAGTTTGCATGTTAGCAATTAGTTTTGCATTTTACCACTTGCTAAAGGAGAAGTTTGCTCTGATACATGAGCTTTTGTTTTCTTGATGAAACCTTAGATTGGGACTAAATTCAGGCAACCTAACCATCCTGGTGATTAAACTGGTCATTTTCACATTTAGGACGACTCGTGGAAAATGAGACTTGATTTCCAGCATACTCTTCCCATCAGGGTTGTGATAACAGTTGAGAGTGAATCTCATGATGAGGTGAGAACAGTGCTTTATGGAATGCTAGATATCTAAGGGATATTATGTCAGGAATCATAACCACAAAGGGTGAAAATTTAATTGATATCTATGTGGAATAAATCAGAGTCAGAGATAAATTGCTAAGGAGGGAGATATGACTATGAAAACAAGGTTTGAGAGATAATTCAACAAAACAGGAAAGGAAATTGGAAACAATGGAAGTATACAAGGTGAAAGGGAAAAAACTGAAATCCCTTTGGATAGAACAGCAAAATAGCCTTAAGGTAAGCAATCCTCGCAAAGTCCTGACCATGAATTAAACAGAGTGACAAAAGCAAAATACTTCAGATTTGGAAATTCAAAATTAAAATACAAAATGCTCGAAACACTCAGCAGCACCCATGGGGACAGAAACAGAGTTAACTTTCAGGTCAATGACATTTGAGCAGAACACAAACAGAACATCAGTTAATTCAAGAGATAGTAGGAACTGCAGATGCTGGAGAATCTGAGATAACAAGGCGTAGAGCTGGATGAACACAGCAGGCCAAGCAGCATCAGAGGAGCAGGAAGAAGGGTCTAGGCCCGAAACGTCAGCTTTCCTGCTCCGCTGATGCTGCTTGGCCTGCTGTGTTCATCCAGCTCTACACCTTGTTATATCAGTTAGTTCAACGGCTGATCCCAAAATGAGGCCCAAAAGGAAGTTGGTTGTCATAAAGGATGCTTAGTCTTCATTCTTAAATCTTTGTTTCAAATGTTTGGCGCTAATATAATCCTAAGAAAAACAACTTACACCTTCATGACATTGTCAAACGTTGCTGGAGTTCAGAAGCGCACATCCGAGGAGGCATTTGGTTTCTACGTGGAGAGACAGCTAGACAGAGCAGTTGTGTGATAAGTGAGGTAGGCACTGAAAAGTGGTTAAATGATGAAAACTCAAAGTTGCCTCAAAGTATGCAACATCTTTAGTCCCTTAATCAACACTGTGACCTCATTATGCCAGAAAATGCAACTGAAGTTGATAGACATTCATTGAAGCACCCTGAACAATTTTCCATCCATCTCAATTTAGATCCCATTTATGGATACCATCAGTAAATCACCCAAGGCAATAATCAATATTACTTCTTAGAAGATATTGCAAAGAACAATAATGTCAATTACAGTAAGTGCACAATCGCAGCAGAACTCAATAACATACAAACCAACATGTGGCCAATGTGGTTTGCATCCAGCAAAGAAGTAGCTCACTCCACAATTGCAGGCTGTTGCTGTAAGTTAACAAAATCATATGCATAATGAAAACTGAGATGGCACTTATAACTTTCACCTCACTTAGCTGTAGAAGGCTGTGTCATTGAGAGCAACAATAAAGTCATAAAATGAAAGATCAAAGTGCTAATGAAGTAATACAAAGCAAAAGTGATTTTCAAAAGTGATTTTGAAAAGCTCAAAAGATTAACCATAGCTCTGCCCTACCTTAAGCAGTCGGTCTGCATTAAGCAATTCCACCAGCTCCTCTTCAAATTTCTCCAGTGTTGGGTAAAGTTGAAGGGACAGCTTGTCCAAGTTGCAAGTTACAGTCTTCATTAAACTGGGTTTCTTCAAAACATTGCCTTGAATCAAAATATAAACTGTTTTGTTATAAATCAATCTAAAGACATGCCACACTTACTCATTTAACCAATATACTTACAGAGATGTAACGAGTGAAGTAAATAATGTAAACACATGATTAGGTGCAATCGTTCAATGGATTCACACTTTTGATTCCTACAACAGAATGTTTCCACTTAATCAAAGGAGCCATTTTGTGCTGAACACATATTTCACCAATTCAGAAATATTATTCTACACTTCTAATTTCTTACTTTGAATAAGTACATAATATTCATTTTTATCAATCTATGTGAAATTCATCCAGTAATCGAACATCTGCAATGTCGACAACAAAGAGTGTTAGGGAAACTATTACATCCACTGGGAGTAACGTACTGGAAATTGAAGCGTACTATTCCCAGAGTTGTCACAAAAGTTAAAGATATTATAAAAGTACACAAAATTCCCCAATTTACTGTGTATTTAGACCCAGATTGACAGAAAGCACAGATCGGGTTCCTGGAGTCAACAAGAATGCCTATTAGTTACACATCAATTGAATCTAGCTACAGTTAAACAATTACAAATTGTCAACAAATAAATCTCCTCATTAACAGTCTAACCCCTTATAAAACTCCTCTGACATACATATGGACAGACACAGAGAGACATTAAAATGAAGGCAATGGATGGAGCGAAAGACACGAAAGACAGTTCAATGGTCCCTGTCCACAGGGTTCAATGAGATGATCCTTTTGGTTTATCAGGTCTTGCTGTTGCACAATCTTCCTTCTCCAATGTCTGTCTCTATGCTGTATGACTTAATGACTCTAATAGCTTGCAGGAGACACAGAGGCTGGGTCACATTTACAAAGTCTTTGACTTACTGGTTAAAAGCTACAGCAAATGATGGGGAGAAATAAACTGGCTTTCTGGAGGCTTGACCTTTTATTTCCACTGCAGAGAGAAGGTAAGCTCCGTCCTTCTCACAGGTCTAATGTCTTCTAGCTAAATGTTCACACCAGCAAGCTTTTCAGTTACATGGGAGCCAATCACATAGTTGTTGGCAGGTAGAAGGCTCAAGGCTGTGTAATATCATCAGATTGGGAGGAGCCTAAATCAGACTCGAACAATGACCCTTTCAGAATCATTAACTTATACAAATCCCCCTCCATGCTTTTATAGAGAATATAGTGAATATTCAGATCTATGACTATTTTTACTAACTTGACTCCTGCATCTGAACAACACATTGCATCCCATATGTCATGGCTCTCAGTTCCCAGTCTAGTCCATTTGCTCTTCCTGGTTAACAAAATTAACCTATTACTTATTATAAATCACAACATTCACCTCTCATTACTGTAGAGCTTAGGACAAGTCAAACCTGCTCTTCATAAAGGACAAGAAGATTTAACAAAATCGATCTGTCCCCTCCTCCACCACCAACACCTCCCACCTCTATCCTGACAACCACCACCACCATCTTGACCCACTGGTACACAAAGTATTTCAGCATGTGGAAGACCTTTTGAGTGATTTAGAGTGAGACTGTCCAATATTCAATTCATGATCAATGTTTTAAGATGAAACCAGTGTCACAGCTCACTGGGATAGTGCAACAGAAATCATACTCCATTATTTTCGCAATCATCACAAATGTGAAAAAGTTTGGTCAAATAATCCAAAATCCCCAGTTTACCTGACTAACTCGGCTTAAAAGAAAACATTCACCAAGTTTCTATAACTCAATGTGAAAATATTATTTATCATGAAAGTTATCTTTAACCAATGGCAATTAGGAAATATGAATTGCTAACTTATAACACCATAAACTCAACTCTCTCCTAGCTTAACTTCTCACCTCCTTAAACAGAGAGACACACAAAGACAGACAAGACATAGATATTAACAGCAGAAAAAGAAAAAAGAGATCAGAGAAACACAGCTCAATAACACCAGATTTGACTACGGGATTTGATTTGTTGTTTATTTCAGTTTCTTCCAATTCCTTTTAATTTTTTGCTGTTTACACAAGGTTGTTTGCACACCAATGCTCTCTTTCATTCACTGGTGAAGAATTTGTCCCTTTGTTGTCCTTGAAGATGATGTATTCCTCCTTCAACCAAGGATTTGTCGAGAAAAGTGAATGGAAGACAGTTATTGGAGGTTTTCCAGTACCTCTACACAACAGTGAGGGAGAGAGAGAGAGAGACATTTTCTTGTTGTTTTCTCTTTGCAGGTTGGGTAGTTCTTTGCTGCAATGGTCCTAGTCAAATCATGGTCACCTGGTCCTTAGTTCAGAGCCCATCAGCTCTGTCATGTCTACTCTTGCTTTCAATGTTCCTGGGAAAGCAATATTGTACACAACTCAGAGTGCACTGATAAACGTGATTTTTAGAACTCTTCACACAGTCTCCTTGGTTTAAAGCAGTATATTCCTTTTTTAAGTCCATGGTCCAAACAAAGTTAATGTGTGATCTTTACACCAGCATGGTGCTGGCAGGCACACTACATGTGGATTCAGCATCCCCAAAATAAGCAGATATTGAAAGAAAACAAATCTGGGATTCTATTCCTGATCATTTATCCCATGACCCTGTGGGAAAGTGTAGATGCAGAATGCTACAATGGCCTTCACAGTCAAACGGTCCACCAATATCAGGTGAATTTGAACACTGCCTGTTTACAACACAGAAATAAAACATAAGAATGATGTTGATGGCAAAAGGGTTGTCTTGCTTCTACTTCATGTCTATTTAAGTTTCTGTACTGCCTGAGAGGGAAGACATACTCTGAACTCCTTTCCAGTGGTGTCTGAGGATGGAACCGCACTGACCTCCCTTTTTCTTTTCATCTCCAGTGAGGCTCAGCGCAGCAATAAGGCCAGTTGGAGATTTCACATAGCTCATTGTCTTCTAGCTTGATACTTTAAAAATAACTTTATTTTCACCTGTTTATTCTCCCTACATCGGTCAACATAACTAAAATCTAAACACAAAGATTCTTAATTAATGAAAAGGATGCATGTACATCACTTTTTATCCTTCAAATCAACCAAAGCCATAACCAGAAATAGTATTTTGGAGTACCATGAGATCTTTACATTAACATAGATACCAGCAGTCTCTTCTGAAATAACAGTTATAACTAACATTACATCTGTCAATAGTAAACATGCTGACAGTTTACCCACCTCTACATATGTTTAGTGCCATAATTATTTAAGTAAACCCCGACCCAACCAAGCAGTCCTTTTTTCTGTCAATGTTTTTCTGTGCCAAGTCAAAGCGCTGTGCAAACTGTTGCAATCACTGATGTGCCTACAAACACTACAAGCTGTCAAGCATCAGTGGTTTATCCAACTTCATTCTAAAAGTCTTCCAAAAACAAAGGTTATTACCAACCAAGATAAGGACAAAAAACAAAAGTAATACTAAATTAAACATTATAATGCATAAGTCAAAACAATTCATGATTTATTTATTGAATTAATTTTAAAAAGTTTTGATCACTCACACCTCTTAGAGAACATGCCTGTGCAGACGTAAAAACAGAAACAAAAACAGAAGGTGTTGGAGAAACACATCAGGCCTGGCAGTGTCTGTGGAGGAAAAAAAACAAATATCAACAAAGTTTTTCTCTCCAGAGACACTGCCAGACCTGCTGAGTTTCTCCAGCATTTTCTGCTTTTGTTTCAGATTTCCTGCATCCACAGTTCTTGGTTTTACTATAGCAGAAGACCTGAGTTGGCTTGGTTATCATGTTCCCTACACGTAATCTGCCAACACTAATCATTGATACAAATTGTAGACTAGGGTGAGGTAGTGATGCAGTACTCATGTCACTGGTCGAGTAATCCAGAACCTCCAGGACATGGGTTCAAATCCTGCAATGGTAGATTTTGAAGTTTCAACTTAAAGAAAACTTGGAATTTGGAGCACCAACCAAATGGCAACCAAGTAACCAACATCGATTGCTGCAAAATCTCATCTGGTTCACTGATGTTCTTTCAAGAAGGAAATCTATCATTCTTATCTGGTCTGGCCTACAAGTGACTCCATACCCACAGCAAATTCAGTTGACTTTTAATTGCCCTCTGAAGTAACTCACCAGCCAATCAGATCAACAATGGCTCTAACTGGGGCATAGCAAATGCCTGGTCTCTGGCCATCCTCTCTGTGTTAGAGAACTGGGATATTTCTTCCTTGGCCAACTGTGAAGATCTGCCAATGATGTACTCAACAGAATCTGCTCGTGAGTATAATTTGGATAAAGTACACACTGAGGTGGAAGAATATGAGCTGGTGGAGGGTGTGAGCGAAAAAGTTGCTGGTGCATTCTCTGAAGGATTGGGGCTTCTTCCTCAGAGAAGGAGGAACAGCTGATGGCTGAAGGGGCTGGCCTCTTATGTGTGGAGCTATGAAGGTGCATTGGTGCCTGCAAAAGGGAATAGAGGGAATAGGCCATATAATATAGATAGAAGCTTGAAATATGGCCAGTTTTGGAGGGGTTGAGCTAGAGGGAGAAGCTGAATAGGCTGGGGCTTTTTTCCCTGGAGGGTCGGAGGCTGACGGGTGACCTAATAGAGGTTTATAAAATCATGAGGGGCATGGATAGGGTAAATAGGCAAGGTCTTTTCCCCAGGGTTGGGGAGTCCAAAACTAGATGGCATAGGTTTAAGGTGAGAGGGAAAGGATTTAAAAGGAACCTAAGGGGCAACATTTTCAAGCAGAGAATGGTGCGTGTATGGAATGAACTGCCACAGGAAGTAGTGGAGGCTGGTACAATTACAACATTTAAAAAGCATCAGGATGGGTATATGAATAGGAAGGGTTTAGAGGGATTTTGGCCAAATGCTGGAAAATGGGACTAGATTTATTTAGGATATCTGATCAGCATGGACAAGTTGAACTAAAGGGGCTAATTCCAGCTGTACATCTCTATGACTCTATGTTAAGAATACATGCTGAGTGATGGAAATGGGAGAACAGCACAGCACAACAAAAGAAAGCTT